AGCCACCACCGAAAAAGCACTGGCCCTGGTTGTCGACAGCCTGGCCTCCTTAAGACTCAGGAGGGCCACTTGGTTCTGGGCCCCTGAACGCAGTGTTCTCTGGGAAATATGTGGAGAAAGGTGGTCCCTCAGGTATGTAGGCCCCTGACCATAAAGGGCTTTAAAGGTAAGAACCGGCACCTTGAAATGAATTCAGTATGCTATTGGCAGCCAGTGCAGTGCCTTTAGCACAGGCTGGATGTGCTCCCGGACTGGGAGTCCCATCAACAGCCTGGCCACAGCATTTTGCACCACCTGCAGCTTCTGGATTTGAGACAAGGGCAGCCCCATATAGAGAGCATTACAGTAGTCCAGTCTCAAGGTGACCATTGCATGGATCACTGTTGTCAAGTCATTGCATTCGAGGAAGGGGACCAACTGCTTGATCAGCTGAAGATGATAAAAGGCTGGTTTGACAATGGCTGCTACCTCCAGTGTGGACACCAAAGGTACCCCATTGAAGGTCGGAAGCAGGATCCCTACCCTCAAACTGCCCCGACTCGGGCAAAGGACCTTCGTCTTCGTTGAATTCAATTTCAGCTGACTCAGCCTAAGCCACAACTTGTAACTCCCAGACTAGATCTTCTGGTTTGGTGTCGGACTGACCGCCCAACAGCAGATAGAGCTGGGTGTCATCCGTATACTGGTGACATCCCTGCCCATGCCTCTGGGCAATCTGGGCAAGGGGGCGCATGTAGATGTTAAAAAGCATCACGGACAACAATGCCCCTTGAGGCACTCCACAATTCAGTGGGTGCCTCTGGGATAGTTGATTCCCCAGTGCCACCCTTTGTCCCCAACCTTGGAGAAAGGAGGCAAGCCACTACAAGGTCAATCCCTGAACCCCGATGTTGGCGAGGTGGTGGAACAGTAGCTGATGGTCGACTGTGTTGACCATGTGGAATCAGCCTTCATCTTCTCTGCAGGCACAACAAAGATGTGTGAGAAGTAGCAAATTTAATTGAGTCAGATAATAAACAACCTTTTTTCTGAGCATCTGTCTACCTAGAAATAGGCCTTTGCATCTCATTACTCTAAAAGCACCATGAATATAATGAGTGATCAGGACTGGCTACCTTGGGACGATGTCGTCATCTCAAATTCGTCATAGGTTTTGCACATCCGCTGGATGACGTCAATCTGCTCCAAGGTTAGACGTACAGCATCTTTGTTCTGAGCACCGCAGAAGGCAAACACGGACCAAAACTGGAGTGTGGGGGGAATGAAAAGTAATTTTCTGCTATTTATTTGAGAAATGTACAGCCAGACTTTCTGTAGTAAATAGCCCTCTTGGCAAGTTATGTATAAACGGAAAATAAAATCACAAGAGCTCTTCATGATTTAAAAAAAGTCTTTTAAAAGATCTCTGATATACATAAAACAACAGTAAAAGACAAGCCTAGGAGTCAACAAAAACCTAATTAAAGTGTGTGGGAAACCAATTGTTTCTTTTTAGGACATTTTAAAGCCACTTCTTCAGGAAACATACCTGAGGCACCTTACAAAATAAAACATAATAAAAGCAAAGATTAAAAATGTGAAGAAGAAGAGATTGGATTTATACCTTGCCCTTCACTACCCAAAAGAATCTCAGAGCGGCTGACAATCCCTTTCCTTTCCCCTCCCCACAACAGACACCCTGTGAGGTAGGTGGGGCTGAGAGAGCTCTCTCAAGAACTGCCCTTGAGAGAACAGTTCTGAAAGAATTTATAACTGACCCACGGCCACACCAACAACGGTATGTGGAGGAGTGGGAAATCAAAGCCGGTTCTCCAAGTTCAGAGTCCACGCTCCTAACCACGACACCAAACTGGCTCTCAATAGTTATCATTTAAAATCCAGCATGAAAAACCCACCCACAACACAAAAATGTAGACCACTGAGCAGTCTGAAATAACAATTTTCAGACTAAAAGAACACTCAAATGGCATTAAAAGATCAGCCTCTTAATTAAAAACTTGGGTGAACAGAAATGTGTTGACCTGGCACAAAGGATGCACAGACCCAGGAAGGTACCTTGTTCCAGCAGAGCTCCCACAGCTACTGGGCTAGTTTCCTTTGGGAAGGATGAAGAGGGTGAGGAGGAGACCAAGAGGGGGCTACCAACTTTTAAACCCGTCCCTTTAATATCAGTTGCTTGTTGGCAACCTCAGACTGGGAGGCAGTATTGTTGCCCACTACCAGGTGGGACCTGGAGATCCCTGGAATCACAACAGATCTCCAGACAACACAGATCTGTTCACCTAGAGGAAATGGCTGCTTTGAAGGGTGGACTCTATAGTGTGATCCTTCTCTTAGGTCCCTCCCCAAACCCCACCCCCTCCAGACTC